GCTGCCTTGCAGGTGAAGGGCCACTACGCAAAAGGACGTCCCGGCCCATGTGGCAGGCCCGGCGCTGGGCCCTGCGGCCCCGCTCCCCTGCCTGCGCAGCTTAGGAGTCATCCTGACAGCCCGCCCGCTTGCTTGCTGGCGGAGGGGAGTGGGCAGCATGGCTGTGGGGCTGCCAAGTGGTGGTGCTTTGGAGTATCATTTCTCTCTTTATTTTTTTCCTAATTCAACTCAAACCTGACTCCAAGTAACCATCCCACTGAACTAGGATTCGATCTCAAGGCTGTCACTGAGCTGTCCTCCTTCCACACCAAACTCCTGTCAAGGTCCCAGGGCCTCGGGCAGAGCTGAGGCTCAGGACGGCCCTTTGGTCACACCGAGGCTGCAGGAGCACTGACCATCCCAGCCCTGTGCCCTCCCCCTCCGTGGCTCTGCAGGCCGGGCTGATCTGGAGAGACCCTTGCCGGGTGGGGGTGCGGGGGAGGGGCATGCGCTCTGTGCTGGGGTCCACCCGCCCTGGCAGCCTGGGGCCATTCCTGGCAGCCATTCCCCTCAAAGCCTTGCCACCTCCTGGACACTGCCTAGGATCAGGGCATGGGACTCACCACTCTTCCCTGCCCAGTTACACGCCTTCCTTGCCCCTCTCAAAGACCTGCCTTTCCTTCCTTCGCCTGCTGCGCTGGAGGGGCTCCCGTTAGGGACAGTAACACCTGCAATGGGATGCCGGATCCCTGTCGGGAGAATTTTGTTTTCAGGTCCTACCTTCCTTCAGAGGCTCTCACCTCCTGTGACCTCTTGGGGCTCTGCCCTCTGCAGCGTGGGAGCCAGGGATCCAGGCAGGGGTGGGGCCATCCGTGGTCCTGCGGCACCAGCGACCCGTTCTCACCGAGCCTGCCGCTGTGGGGAAGCGGCGGAGGCAGCGGCCGGTGCGTCCGCCCCACCTGGTGGAGGAAGGCAGATTGCAGCCTGACGCTGGGCGAACTTTCGCAGTTGCCGCCCTGTTGGGAAGAATCATTACTTTGCCACTTTATTGATACAAGACAATCCTCAGCCTCGTCTTTTCCTTCTTCCAAGCGACCAGACATCTCTGATTCACACTCTGGGGCTCTTTGAGGCATGTGATCCTGTGTAACAAACCATCCCAAACCCAGTCACATCAAACCACCGCCACCTATTGGATGGGGTACCAGAGAGATGGCTGGGCTCTGTCCCGTGATGGCTGAGGCCTCCACCGGGAAGACTAGAATGGGAACCAGCTGGGAGGCTGCTCCACTCTTACCTTGCATTTCGGCTGAGATGCCTGGAAGGCTGGTCTCAGCTGGGACTGTGGACTCAGTGCCTACCCGTTACCTTCCCCGAGGCTTAGGCTTCATCACAGCAGGACAGCCTCTCCCGTTTCCTGCTTCCATGAGCCTGAGGCACGGAGCCTGTAGGGCCCTTTCTTCCTTCTCGCTCTCTCTGGTGCTCTCTTGTCATGAAGCTAAATTGGGAACCTTGGCAGTTTGGTCCCCTGGCTCTCGCTCTCTCCGTATCTCCTCACGTGTGTACCAGGACTCTCTTCCCTCTCTTAGGACTTGGTGGTCAGTGGGTGGCACACTTCAGAAGTGGACTTTGCCAGGGGGAGTGGTACTGGGTAGGGCTCCAGTGGAATGAACCAGAGACCCAGGAATGCCAGAGAACTAGGTGATGGGCCGCCAGTTAATAATTATTTCCCATTTGTTCATCAGAAACCCCACGGGGAAGAGGAAAAGACTATCTGGCTTTCCTTGTCCATTGTGCGGCTGTGTGTACCAGAGACCCCAAACAATGACACAGGAGAGACAGGCGTTCTTCCTCTCTCACGTAAGGTCTGCACAGTCACGGCAGCCTTGTTCTGCAAAGACATCATGGGCCCGGGCTCCTCCCAGCCTGTGGCTGCCCCGTCCCCAAAGGGTGTCGCCCCTGTCTCCATGGTCCAAGTGGGCTCACCTTCTTGTTTGCAATCCAACTGACACGGAGAACTGTGAGATGGACTGGGGCCAGGGGCCAGCGAACTGCAGCTGGTGGGCTGGCCACCCGTTTTTGTAAACTCAGTTTTATTGGAACGTAGCCACTCCAATTTGCTTAAATATTGTCTCAGCTGAGTGGTTGCAACAGAGATAATATGCTATGGCCAACAAAACCTAACGTATTTACTTCTTGGCCCTCTAAGACAAAGTTTGCTGACACCTTCGTTAAGGGCATCCAGAGGCTGACTTCTGCTCACACTCCACTGACTAGACCTTAGACACAGGGACATGCATAGCTGCAAGAGAGGCAGGGAAATGCAGTCTTTATGCGATGTGGCCAGTGACCCATCTAGACAATCAGTTATTACTAAAGGGAAATGACTACTGTAGGACAACCATCTATCTTCCCTATGCTGCATCCTGTGTCCTTTGGCCAGACTTTGATGCCTGTTATTTTAAAATTCTGAACTTATAAACCAGGCTCCTATCTAGATTCATCTATACACAGGTTTCTTTTGTCACCTCTGCCTTCCTTTCCTTGTTGGGGTATTTTGCCACATCAGAACCAGAGTTCTGTTCAAGAGCTGCCTTGACTCTACAGTCTCCTTCCTGAACACTTTGTCTTCAAGTGCAGAAGTGGTGCCTGGCTGTGTCCGCTGCCCCTTCACTTCCAGTCACAAAGTCGCTGTTGGACTCCACTCCACTATTTCACATCTTTGTCAGGACGTGGTCCAACGCAGAAATCCCCCTCCACTTCTGGGAATGGGAAGCACCCCGCCCCCCCCAGGCAAGTTAGGAACTTGTTCTTGACGGTGGTTAAGCAGGAGTCCAAGCAGAAGTCCCTAAAGATAAAGTCCCACCCGCTCCTTTCCTGCCATATCCTGCCTCTGGTCGACTTTCTCCCATTCTCTCCCTCAATGACAACTCCTCCTGCTTCACTCTCAACACGCGAGCCCGCAGCTTTGCGGATTCCTGAAGCAGGCATGTAGTTCCTTCAGACTCCTCCCTCCTCGCTGCCTTGCCTCTTTTGAATATCTTCCCGAGGCTATATTCAATCTCTGCTCTCATCAGAGCATCTTGGTTACACCCATGAGATCATATTCACCGCCCTATGTTCTGGCTTCGACCTTGGACTTGCTTGTGACTCATGAACTATCTGCACGTGAGTGCAGAACCACCAAGAATCAGGTCTGGGGGAAAAAGGTGTAATTACTATGTACTATGTGAGAAACAAGAGAACACCTACGGTCCCCAGCTCAGAGAAAGAGGCCTAGATGGTCACCACCTTCAAACCAGTGAAGGGCTGTCATGCAGAAAAGGGATTACAACAGTTCTGTAGGGTTTCTATACGGCTTGACTTTTTAAAAGTCATGAGCAAGAATTGCTTTGGTGAATAAAAAAAAAGAACAATAAAGATGGCCCAGAATGGCAAAACTGGGATGAAAAGGGGACAATTTTTGATGCAAAATCAGGAAGAACCATCTAAGAAGTAGAGCTGTCCAATAGGAAATCGGGTGCACAATACGAGAGTGAGATTGTTGTTCTGATGATATTCAAGCAAATGATAACGAATGACTCCTTGATCCCAAAAGGAATGGGGAGTTGAACAAAGTGGCCCTTTAGATTACAAAGAGCGACCTTCTTACAAGCTCAGGTCTGACGGGATTTCTGGAGAGAACGCAGCTCTCATGGAACCCCCAGAAAACCTGAGCGCCCTGGCGGCAGGAGGGGCGGCGACTCGGCTCCCAGCTCTGGGTCGCGGCTTTTTTTAGTTCAAATTCTTTCCTAAGAATCTGGATCTGGCTTCATCTGAGTCAGGCGTTCGGTCCTGGTCCAGTCCGTGGTGGTCACGGGGGTGGAGTCCCATGATTCGAAGAGAAGAGCACGGTGCCAGAGACATCCGAGCCGCGGGTGGGAAAATCCTCAGAAACATTGGGAGGGGCCGACACTCTCAAAATGATGGTGAGGGTCCTGACCAAATTCAGGGCTCACTCATTCTGGGCCAAAAGGGATTCCAAGCAGATGCCATTCTTCGCACGGCTGTGAAGATGTCAGGATTAATGCACACGCAGCTGAGGGTGTGCACTTGGATTAAAGTGCGGGGACAGGAAAGGGGGCAGCAGGGCTGTGGGCAGGGAGTGGCTGGAGCCCACCGGGACACACGTCGTCTGGGACAGGACCCCCCACAGGCCGACTTACACGTTACGCTCCATCTGGGTCCGTGCTGGCTGTCCCCCTTGCAGTTTTAATATTAACTTTTAACTTTTAGGATGGTTTTAGATTCACAAATAGGCCGCACAAATACTACACAGTTCCCATATATCCCACACCCAGTTTCCTCTGTGGTTCACACCCTACATTATTATGGTGCATTCTTACAACTCACGAACCACTATGAATGGGGGAACTAAATTCCGTACTTTATTTGGATTTCATTAGTTTTCCCCTAGTGCCATTTCTTCCCCGTGCCAGAATCCCACCCAAAATACCTGCAGTAGTTTCCCAGGGCTGCCATAACAAATGACCACAAACGCGGCAGCTTAAAACAACAGAAGTGTGTCCTCTCAGTCTGAAGGTCAGAAGTCCGAAATCTGCAGGGCACGCTCCGTCTGAACCCTTCCATGTCTCTTCCAGCTCCTGGAAGCCCCAGGCGCCCCCTGGCCCCGTGAGGGGCCAGGTCTTGGAGCTGAGGCCTCTGATCTCCGCTTCCATACCCTTTTACGGCGTCCACTGCGCGCCCCTGTGCCTGTGTCTCAAGTTGCCCTCTGTTTTCTCTTATAAATCATTGGGTTTAGAGTCCACCCTACACGCAGGATAATCTCATCTTGAGGTACTTAGCTCACCCACACCTGTGAGACCCTATTTCCAAATAAGTTCACATTCACAAGTACTGGGGGTTAGGACTTGGCGATATCTTTTGGGAGATGTCATGTGACCCACGGCGACACCATACTACGTTCAGTCTCCTACAGTGGCGTACACACTGAGAGAAGGCGCAACTCAAGTGCACGCGCGTTACGCCGCACACCCAGGGCCCGCGCTGTGTGGGGTACTGCGAGACGGGACGCTGGCCGTGTGCCAGGTGCACAGGGAGCCCAGGGAAGAGGGCAGGGGGCCCTTAGGCTTAGGCCGGCACAGGGCCAGGGTCCAGTCCTGGGAGAGAGCTGTGCTGTCCACACAGGCAGGATGTCCAGGGACAGCCCGGGGGGAGCTGGGGCAGGGATAGGGGCGAAGTGGGGGGCAGCAGGGAGCAAGGCAAGGGCCTGGCCATGGGTGTGGGAACCAGGCCAAGGGTCTGCTCGGCGGAGCAAAGAGGAAGCACTCAGGCCCTAAGGACAGGACCCCAAGCCAGCCTGCGGGGCTTGCAAGGAGCAAGGCCATTGTCCAGTAAAACCAAAGTCTGTGATGGAGCAGGAGCAGCCCCTTCTGGGGCCGACTGGGGCCGAGCAGGCTAAGTGCTGACCAGGCTCCACAATCCCGCTGCCTCAGGCCAGCGCTGGCCCCAGCCGGGAAGCCCAACCTGACAGAGCGGGTAAGGGAACGGGGCCCAGCGACCACAGGGACAGGGTCATCGCAGGTTAGGGCAGCCGAAGCTGCCGGGGAGCGGAGCACTGAGACAGGAGCAGCAGAGACAGAAGGGAGGGGAGGGGGCACACTGCATGACAGGCCTCCAGACAGGACCCAAGGGACAAAGGCTCGGGGCAGGGAGAGCACAGCAGAAGCCTGGGCTGCCGGGCAGAGGGCGCGGGGCCGGGGAAGGGCAGCGGAAGGAGGTGAGGGCAAGGCTACAGCTGAGCCCCTCGACGGCTGGCAGCCCAGCACAGACGTCAGACCCCGCAGCCGCGGAGCAGGACGCGGAGCGGGAGCAAATCCTGCCTCTTCGCCTCCCCGGCTGTGTCCCTTTGGGCAAGTTCCTCAATCCCTCTGGCCTCACCTGGGGACAGTCACAGCACCTGTCTTCACAGGGCTGCTGTGGACGTTGAGTTGGAGTGTATGAAGCCCTGAGCACGGTGCCTGGCACATGTGCCGTGCGAACGTTTGTGAGTCGTACAATTATGTGAAATACAATAGTTAGAACATTAATCAACATTTCCCAAAGTGCGTTCCGTGGAACCCTCAGCTAACTTCCATCAAAAAGGTCCTTACAGTCAAACAGTTAGGAAAACGTCCCCTGTCATATCCACAGCGAGCTCTGACATGTCTATAGTTTTAAAAGAAAAAGAAAAAAACCAAACCTAATTTTATTAGCCCACGGTTTCGTAGTGGACACCATGTGGGACCATGTTCCATGGGATACTAGTTTGGGACGTGTTATGGGGAGAGGCAGTGGGCAGGTCTCTGGAAGTAGGGGAGAGGTTTCCAGGAGAAACCATGGGGGGGGGGAGCCCCCAGTGCCCAGAAAGGAGGCAAGGAGGGCCCGGAACACCGGGGGTGAGGAACCGTAAGAGAAGGGAAGGGTGCATGGGAGAGACCCAGGGTGGGGTGGGGGATAGAGAAGAGCAGGTGCTATTGGGTGTGGAGGGGAGGGAAGAGGAGGCAGAAGTGGCCCTGAGAATTCACCTCTGGGCTGAGGAGTGGGGAGCACCCGCCATTCACTTACACACCGTCTCAGCCTCCGCGCTCCCCCGCCCCAACCGCCACTCCTTCCTAGGGACGGACCAGACCGTGGTGGGTCTAAGCCCTGTGGCTTCCCCCAAAGAGAGGCCCAGAGAAGTGAAGGTAGAATCAGCTGCCGCCAGGGGAATGACAGCCCCCGGAAGGCACAGAGCCACACTGTCCTCACGGTGTACAGACCGTGTGGTTGTAAAATCGACAGCAGTTGTCCAGGACCCCTGGGCTGAACTCTGCGCTGGTGCTGGAAAAAAAGCAAAGGCCGCCGTCTGAGCGCCAGGACGGCTCTGCTGGCCACCCAAGGCTGGGCCACCCTGGGAGACTTGCTCCACGTCTCCGGTCCGTCTTTCCTCCCCAGCCCCAGGCCATGTGAACCACAGCCGGGACATTTCCACCCCTTGCCTGGCGCCCAAGGCGTCCCCCGGGCCCTCACCTCTGGAAGGCCTCGCGGCAGCACTGGTACACCTCAAAGCTGCTGCTGCTGAGGGTCGTGTTCAGGAGGGCCGTGCAGTTGACTTCAGCCCCCCTGGGCATGTAGAGGATCCCTGTGCAGGGAAAGCGGTCCCTGAGCAGTGTCTATCCCCTGCTTCTACCCTCAGGGACTTCCGAAGAGACCAGAGCCCCTGTGCCCAGCCCAGCTAGAAAGTCGGGGCTCTGCCAGGCCGGGGCTCACCTGCGACGCATGCGTTCACTAGGGAGACGCAGGCGCCTGTGCAGAGCGCCCGCAGCACGATCTTGGAGAAGTCGCCTTTCCGCTGGGGGGCCATGGAGACTGCAAGGGGACAGGGATGCTCAGGGCCAGGATGCAGGGGCCTCTCTGCCCACGCTCTGCACCTCTGGCTGTGTCTGCTGACTCCCCTTCCTCGCCTGACGCTGGCTGAGTTTGGGAGTCCAGGGTCACTTCCTTGGCCAGACTTGGGCCGCTAGGTAGCACCCCACGCATCCCCGCACACGTCCTCAGGGGTGGAGGTCGGAAAAGAACCCGAGTGTGGAGTCAGGCAGACCTGGGACTACACACAGGGTTAGCCAATAACTGGCTGAGTGATTTAGGCCATCACTTCACTTCTCCGAGATTCAGTGTCCCAGCCTATACAATGGGGCGGTCCCCCCACCCCACCAGGCAGGGGGACTACAAAGAGTGGAAACGGTTCCTCTGGAGAGCTGAGAGCTGGGCAGAGCATTCCTCCCTGGGCGTCGCAGGCCTGCCTGTCCGCTGCGGGTACGGGGAACGTCAGGCCAGAGTCTCGGGGGACAGGCCAGCACGGCACCTCCTGCCCCTCCCCAGATCCCAGGGCCAGGCTTGGCCTGGGCCACCCCCAGAAGCAGGGAAATCATGGAACTCCCAGGCTGGGAGGAGCCTCCAGGGCCACCTCCCTCAGACACCGCCTTAGACAAAGCGGGGAACTGAGGCCTGCAGACCCCCAGGAAGCTGTCGAGCAGCCAGCACTAGAGTCCAGGTCCCCAGCGGTCAGGACGCTTGGACGCCCCCCGAGGACTCACTCAGGCCTCCCAGCATGATCCCAATGGAGCTGACGTTGGCAAATCCACAGAGGGCGTATGTCGTGAGGATTTCTGCTCTGACCTAGAATTACAGAAGAGGAGTGAGGGGGGGCTCCCCTCAGATGGGATGGGAGCACCCTATGCCACTCCGCACCCTGGCCTTCGCATCGCCCACGTGCTCTGTGTCTTTGGCCTTGGGCGTGCTCGGTGCTGCCCCCGCCTGGCCTTGCACACCGGCCTGTAAGTCAGTTCAAACCACAGCACCTCAGGGCGCCCTTCAATCCGCTAAAGCACAGCCTCGCTGGGTGTGATTCAGGCTTGCTCAGTCCTCCCAAGCTCTGCACTCAGGGGGCACGTGGGCAGATGCCCTTCCCAACACTCCGCAGTCTTGCACTGCTGTTGCCTGAGAACCTCTCAGGCCAAGAACTCCGAGGGTGCTGCCCTGCTGAGGGTGGAGAGCGTGTGGCCCAGCGAAGCGAGCGAGGGACGTGGAGCCCAACGAATTCGAGTTCCAGGCTTGTCCCCGGGCATGATCAGGTTGAGCAAGCCAACAGCCTCTTTACTGTCTGTCTGGAACGTGGGGACGATAGTCCCTGCCTGGGAGGGCTGCGGGGAGGGCAGCACCATATGTGGGAGACTCACAGGGAAGAGGCGGAGCTAGGAACGGAGAGTGAGTGAGCAGTGAGGGGAAAGCTGGGCTTTTTACTCCATGCTAACTTTTTTTAAAAAAGAATACATTCCTTTACAATTAAAAAGAAATACCTTAAAATGCAAAAAAAAAAAAAAAAAATTTCATGTTAAAAGTTCCTAGTAACCCCAAGACACACAAATTAAAACAATGAGCTATTATTTGCCCATTCAAATAGCAGAACTTCTTTTTTGAAGAGGCTACTCCATGCTGTTCAGTGTGTGGTCGAGTCAACGCTCACAGGCACAGCTGGGGGTGATTTCAGCTGCTACAGCCCTTTGGGAAAGTCGCTGGCAGCAGCGGCAGGAGGACTCATGCTGTGCGATTCTGTCATCCCACCGCTGGAAACGCCCCTGAGGAAGCGATCGATCGGAGAGCAGGGAGAAGTTCTGGACAGAAACCAGCTCCTTGCAGCGCTGGGTATAATCTCCGGATAAAGGATTTCACCTGAATGGCCCAGCAGCAGGGGGTGGCTTAAATATGTGAGGATACAGACACCAAAAATGATGCTTATGTCATAACAGTAGGTGGGGGAAACCTGGCGACGATAAAGTACGGATACTAAAACGGACACTAAGGAAACTCTCGTTAAAGGAATAGCAGAAAATGCGTAAGACAACAATAGCTGTTATTTTAGGGTGGGGAGAGGGGTAACGTTTTCCTTCCTGATGTTATATAGAGCTTTTATTCTTTTAGAAAGACTCGTTTTACAGAGCTGTTATAGTTTTTAAAATAAATTTTAGCAGAAAGAAACCACGCCTGAACTGAGAGCACTACACTGGCAGTGAGTATGGTGGTGAGGTCTCCCTGCTTCACTCTCGGGGCTCACGGGGGGGCTCACATCTACTCCTTTGGGGTACACACGGCAGGTGTTCCACCCGTTTTCCTACAGGAGAGGCAAGGAGCAGCGGCTGGCCCAAGGCCACACAGGATGGTGGTCCGTCTACAGCCAGATCTCCGGTGTCTCCAGCAGGGCTCTTCCCCTGCGACTCAGCCTCCTAAGGGGTCTGAGGTGGTGGCAGTGAAGCCTGAAGCCATCTCGAGCCCAGGGCAGTAGGATACGGGAGGTTGGACACCAGGGACCAGTGCGTGTGTCTCAGCCGCGAGGGGAGCAGGGCAGGCAGCTGCGTCCCGCCCCTGCCTGAGGGAGGGACTGGGACACTCACGGAGATCCACTGTTTCTTGCCGCCGACCCATTCCTCAGCCCCCGCGAGGCGGCGCTGCTTGTACTGGGACAGCTCCTGGTAGGCCACAAACTCGTTCAGAAACAGCTTGATCCCCAGCAGCTCGGCCACCACGGGGCAGTCTTCCCAGGCCACGCCCATCAAGAAAGCCACAGGCCGCAGGAGGTAGGAGCAGAGGAGCTGAGGCACAAGGCAAGAGGGGCTGCTGGGACCCGGCTGGCCTGAGCTCTGCCGAGCGTCCGCCCACCACCTGAAGCCCAGGCTACCGCCTCCACGGGCCCAGCAGGCCTCCTGGACTGCACCTGGAAGCTGAGCCCCTGAACGTCCACCAGGTCCCCCAGCCAGGCGAGGGCAGCGTTGATGAAGGCCAGCACCGCCAGGAAGGCAATCAGGTTGGCTGCGATGTTGGTGACAACCCTCACGGACATGGCGGCCCCAGTGCTGGCGGCTTCTAAGAGGTTCTGGGCGTCTCTGTTGATGGGACCAAGAGCCAACTTCCTGGTCTGTCCCCACGATCAGCAGGGCCCCTCACCCAGCGGGGGTCAGAGAAGAGCCCTGGACAATGTATTTCAGAGCCGAAGGTCCTTGTTTCCCCTCTGACACCCAGCGAGGGAAAGGGGCTGGTCCCAGCACCAGCACTGGACCCAGACTTCCAGTGCAAAACTGCCCAAGACAGGAGCCATTAGCCACACATGGCTTTTGAGCACTTCAAAGGAGACTGCTCAGAATCGAGATACGTTCTGTTAGTCACACCTCAGACTTCGCAGACTTAGTACAAAATAAAGTCAATGGAAAAATAAAATGACTATTTTATAAAATGATCACATTTCTGTTTTTTACATGTTGAAATAATAGTATTTTGGGTAAAGTACTGGCCGTAGGTTTAGGATAAATAAAATATTTTATTAAAACCATCTGTTTCTTTTTACTTTTTTTTAAGATGGCAACCAGGGAATTTAGAATTATAGATGTGGCCTGGCTGGTGTGGCTCAGTAGACTGAGCACCGGCCTGCGAACCAAGGGGTCGCTGGTTTGATTCCCAGTCAGAGCACAGGCCTGGATTGTGGGCCGGGTCCCCAGTAGGGGGCGTGTGAGAGGCAACCACACATTGATGTTTCTCTCCCTCTCTTTCTCTTTCCCTTCCCCCCTCTAAAAATAGATAAATAATATCTTTAAAAATTTTTTCGAAATTATAGATGCGGCTCACATCATATTTCCCTAGGGCAGCGCTGCTCTGGACCTTCAGGAAGACGTGAGGTCGTGGCGGGGGACTGTATCCCCCGCATATGCATCAAAGTGGTGCCTTTTCAACACGTTTAAAGGATTAGATGCTACACGTCTGCTGTTAAGACTGTGATGGAGAGGTGTTAGGAGGAGACTGACACCCCCCCACCCCCGCCCCCGCCCCCAGAGCTCAGCACGTGAGCCTGGGACAGACGCGGGCGTGGGAGCTCAAGGCAGGGGGAGGAGGTGGCGCGGGGCCTTTTCACCGCCTCCTCACCGCACACACCAGGCCACACCCCCCAGACCCAGGCCGCGGTCCCACGCCCTCTCCCGTCCACTGTTTCCTGCTGGTCCGAGAATGGAAGTAAAGATGTGAGAACTGGAGCCTGCGTGTTTCTAAGCAAAGCTACAAACCGAGGGCAGCTTAAGCGGAGCGGTGGGCCTGGGGTTGGTGGAAGGGCAGAGCAAACGCGATCCATCCCCGCCTCTGCTCCTGCGCCCCCTCCCCACCCCCACCCAGGCCCTCTGCAGCCCCGCCGCCCCCTGCTGCGCTCACCCGGAGCTCAGCTTCACTCCTGCCTCGCTCCTGAACTTGGACTCCTCCACCTCCGGGTAGACCAGCTTGGAGAGGGCCAGAGCACACGGCGCGGCCATCACCGAGGCAGCAATCAAGGAGGCGGCGTCGATCTGCGAGAGGGAGAGTGGGGTTACAGGGGAGGGCGTGTGGGGGCCAAGCGGCGCAGCCCAGGGCAGCAGGGGCCGTGGGACTCGGCCCCAGGGATAAGCCACCATCGTCAGAACGACGAAGGGGCATCCGTGCCCAGCCCTCTCCACGGCCCCTGCCCAGCCTGCGTCCACAGCCCCAGGCACCCAGCCAAACCACCTCTCACAGCGGCTCCTGAACCAGGCGGGTGGGCAGAGAGGCCGGTGTCCGGGGTTAGCGGGGGGAACTGGCGCCCGCCTGAGTGCTCTTGGGAAATAGGGTGAAAAGGGGGGAGTGTATGCGGCAGCCACCATGGAAGGATTCAGCCGAAGGGCCCCGGGGACCTCGGGCCAGAGAGGAGGTCTAGGCCAGCGCTGTCCATGCAAAGAGGACGGGAACCACATCTGTGATTGCTGGCAGCCAATTACGACAATAAAAAGAAGCAGCTAAAATTAATTTTACTAATATATTTTATCTAGCCCAAAAGATCCCAAATATCATCTTTCCATCCGTGTAAATATTAAACTTTTTGATAAGGTGTATTAATTTTTTTCCACACTAAGGCTCACAGCCGCCCTCACTGCAGAACAGGCACATTTCCCGTGCTCCGTGGCCACGTGTGGCCAGTGGCTGCTGTGTTGGACGGCGCGGGTCTAGAAATAGCCAGATATTAGCGATGGCGGGGGCGGTGCAGGGCAAAGGGAGCCCGCAGCTGAGCAGCGAAGAGAAAGGAGAAGAGAGCAGGAGGGATCTTCCTGGAATTCGGGGGCTGAAGGAAGGGCCGACAGCTGTACAGTGAGGAAGCGCCTTGAGGCCGAGGGAGTGGAAGGCCAGGGAGAGGGGTGGGAAGAAGGCAGGGCTGTGGGAGGTCCCCAAGCTGCTGCAGTGGCGGCCAGGAGCCAGGCGGGGGCAGAAAAGAGCTTCTCTTATACCAGGCTTTTCACCTGGGCCGCTACCGTGGTCGCCTTGGGGCTGCGAGACCACAGGCTGCGCATGGAGCCCCGCGGCCACCTGGCTGACCCCGGCAGCCTGAGCACATTCTGCAGAGCTGCAGGGAAGCGGCCCGGGCCCCTTCGGCGGGGGAGGCCACACTGCCTGGGGCTAGGCCTGGACTGCTGAGAGCGGGAAAGAAAGCAGGGTGAGTTGTAAGGCAGATCCTGGAAAAGGGATAGGGTTGTTCCAGGATCCTAGTCGTCAGTGACGGCAGCCACGCGCACGCTGTGGAAAGAATACCATTCCTGAAACCGGCTGTGAGACCTAGGACAAGGTTTAGACAGCCGAAGCCCCGAAGTCCTGAAAATATTGCGGCATTCCCTCCCCTAATTTGCCACCGTGAAAAAAAGCTTCAGGAACAGTTTTGAAAAATCAAACTCCTTCCTCAATCTGGTGGTGGGGAGGGGTGGGGGTGCACCGGCTCCATCAGAGGCCTCAGTGAAACAAGGTGTGTGCCAGGAGACTTCTAAAATTCTAGAAGGGAGGGTGCCAGGCCAGGGGACAAAGACAAGAGGCCTTCCTGAGAAGCCGCACAGCCGCCTCTCTGCCCGGGGAGCTCTGTGGGATATGGGGCTGAGCTAACTAGTGCCACTCATATGTCCTGAGCGAAGGAGGGACTGAGGGCAGGCTGGCTTGTCCTCAAACCCACCCTCAAGGAAAGAGATGAGAGGGACAGGCGGAATTGGGGACCAGAGAAGGGGGCTGTGGGGGTCATTCTGCCATCCCCCAATCCCTCAGGGACTGTGGAAGGCCAACTATGGCCACCAGGACTAAACAGCATTCATGGCGTGGATGAATTGACCCAACTCACCCCCTTACTGCTTGACATTTGGGCTGTTTCTTGTTTTGTTTTTCTATTGTAAGTAATAATGGAATTTTGACTTTTTTTTTTTTTTTTTTGGCCACTTGTGAAAATATTTCTGTATCGTAATATTCCTAACGGGATCACAGGGAAGTTATTTTAAAACTGAGGGACAGGTGCTCTCCAAAAAGATGACAGCAGGTTGCACTGTGCTACCAAACGTGCGTTCGTACCCCAAAGGAGATGTAGGCGCCCAGCAGGGAGCCGGCAATGGTGGCATAGCCTCCGGTCATGACAACGTGGATCTCAGAGAGGGTCATGTCTGCCAAGTAGGGCCGGATCAGTAGAGGAGCCTCGGTCTGCAAACAGGAAAGACGTTGGACAAATAGAACTGGATGGACCAGCACAGGCTCCTGAGGATCTCCCGCTGCCCCCACCCCCTGAGGGGGCAGGTCACCTGAGTTCTGGGGGACCCAGGGGAAAAGACTGCAGTGGGGTGGGCGAGGGTTGTGGTCTGCCCCTAACTGAGCCCTTCTGCACATCAGCGTCGGCCTGGCGCTGTGCGAGGACCCCCAGCCCTCCCGCCTGGCCTTACAGCGCCCGCTGTCAAGCGCCTACCACGTCCAAGGACCGCACTGGCGCCTCACGTTTGTGCTCATAACCTTCTGAGGAAGAAGAGGTTATCCCCATTTTTCAGGGGAGCAAACAGAGGATAAGAGAGGTTCGGAGAATAACCTCTTTTCATGCCAAGAGCCCTAAGCAGATGTCGCTCCAGGCCAGAGCTTTTAATGAAGCCTGGGGTCTGCCAGAAAGAAAGGCCAGTATGTCTTCTGGGGACCCAAAGGTTGGCCAGGGGGGCCAGGACCCTGGAACGGCCTGCAGGGACGCACCCCCGGCAGGAGGGCCAGGCCTTCTGAAAGGGACTCAGGACTGAGCACTTTCAGAGCCTCACCGGCTTTGAAAAATGCATTTTCAAAAAGAGAAAAAAAAAAAAAAGACAAAACGATGTAGTGGGAAGAACCCGGGTCAGGAAGAAAAAAACCGGGATCCTAAGTCCTGGCTTATCTTCTGGGACCTTAGCCAGCCGCCCGCACCCGAGCCTTAGCTTCCTTGTGCACAAAAGGAGAAAGCGGGACCCCATCTCAAGGATGTGAGAGTCTCTGAGCCGATGAAGGAGCCTCGGCCTAGAGCAAGCGACAGGACATGCCAGATGGATCCCATTCTCCCTGGCACATCCCAGGCAAAGTGCATCCCTGGAGTGACTGCCTTCGGTGGGTGACCTTGGGGGAAGGTTCACATGGCTCTTCCGCGGCCTGAGTTTGAATTCCAGGGACCAGGGCGCCTGGCCTCCCGGGGGAGGCTGCCGGTCAGCACCAGGGCAGCAGGCTGAGGACCCACCTGGCTCACAAAGATGTTTCCAGCCACGCTCAGGGTCTCGGTAGCGGTGGTGCTCATGGTGACCTGCATCAGCCAGGCAATCTAGAAGGAAGCAGGGGACTTGTGGGCTGGTGTCTGTGAGCCCCAGAGGCAGGTGGAGCCAGGGATAGAATTACCTTACAAGTCTTCCTTCCAACTCCCAACCCAGATAGGACCTCCTTACCTACATTCCCCCAAAAGCTCACTCATCTTCCCCTTCCAAACCTCCACTGATGGGGGCTTATCATCCATGGGGGACAGGGAGGGAGGACTCCTTGGTCAAATGTATTAGAGAGTTACTGTGCGCACACACCTTGGAGATAACCCACACGTATGAGCTCGGTAAAGGCCCTGGGAAGTCCTGCATAAAACTTGATTGCATTTGTCAGCTTCACAAAATCGTTTGACCACGGGATCCTGTGCTTTGCAGCATTTATTAACCTGCCATGGAACTAGAGTTTCACCTAAAAAAGGCTTTGGGAAGCGCTATATTAGACAATTGTTCCTTTCCCTCAAGATGAAGTCTGTTTCCCTGGAATTTCTCCTCACTGCCGGTACCTCCCTACTTTTCTCTAGGCGCTGGCAGGCAGCTCTCCCACCCGAACCGTGGGCCCGTCTCCTCCAGCTGTTGCGGGAGGGCGTGGTGTGCAGCCGTGCCGCTCTCCCTGAGGTGACTCAGTTTGTCATCGCCCCTTGGGTGAACCCATTCTCCAGAATGATGCCAGATTTGGGCATCACTGCCTCCCTCATGCCACGCACTGTGAGCTCTTCGCACGACCCCAGGTGGCTTTTGCGCTCCCGGCAGCCCCCCTGACGGCGCAGGTTTCCTCTGAGCTCCATCAGCCCAAACCTTGGAAGCCTTTGCCTGGCCCCATGCTGTCTCCTGCCTCCTGGTTTTGTGCAGCAGGTTTTGTGAGCACGAGCACAGGACTTGGCGTTTACGCCAGCTACATCTGGCCAATATGAGCCCCTGCTCCAATCTCACAAGATCTCTTTGGTACAGATTAGTTTTTCCCCTAACATTTCTTCTCCATGCAGCCTCAATCCTACAAACGTCACCTTGGATTTTGGTGCCATTTCTCCTTAGTATCATGACAAGAGACTCTGTGGAAAGATGCCTGGCGAGCGATAGGTTTGAGGAAGTGTAGACCCTGGGAGCAAAGCATTCTGGGAGAGTGTAAGTCTTGTGAGCAAGGGTCTCCAGGGGAGCCCAAGGCACGGCACTGGGACTCACCTTCAGGATCACCCACTGCATGAGGCCCACGTGGTAGAGAATTGACATGACACAGCTGAAGAAAACAATGATGGGCAGGACCTTCCAGGAAAGAGCAGAGGCCCCAGGTTAGAGGCAGGCAGGTGGCAGGGGACCAGGCCGGGCCTCCGAGACACTAGGCAGCCTGCTCCATCCCCGGCCTGGCCACCCTGAGGCCTGACAGGGTCGGGGGAGAAGCTCGGAACTCAGTGCCTGCAACCTCCTGGGGGGCCTTTCAAAACTTCTCTCAGGTCCACGGCCTCGTCTCCGGGCCAGGGGCCCGCCCCAGGGCTCCCTGGCTGCGGACTGATTTACAACCACCAGGCCAAGCGACAGTGACGTCAGGGTGTCTCAGGGGAGGGCGTGTTTCAGGACCCGGCGGGTGGCCACACAGTGGAGCGGTGAAGTTGGGGAGGAAGAGCGAGGCAGCCCACTCTGGGCCGTTCTGGAGTGATTTCCGAGACGGGCTGTTCAATGAAAGAGGGAAGGTGCCCTGGGGTGGGGACGCAACAGCACTCGGAGGGCCTGGGGAGAGAGGGAACAGGGTGACTTGGGGGTCGGGGTGGGAGGGAGACTCACTTTGTACCGTATTCCCTTTTGTCCTGTTGGAATGTGCTATCTGTTCCAGTTTTAAAATAATAAGTCACACAGAGTTGGTAACAACATGGGAGCATTCTTAGGCTAAAATGTTTAGTGGGGACATCGAATGTTAGAGCCACCGAAAGGACACTGAAACCATTACACCCCACAGCCAAGGCGGTCACTTCTGTGTGCTGGGACTGTGGACATTTTGTTTCCTTCTTGCTCTACATCCTCATCTGCTCCTCTAATTTTCTGTAACAAGGGGACACTTTTCAGAGCAGGGAGCTTGGGCGGAAGAGAGGTGTGGGGACAGCTCGTCAGCTTGGTTTTGGACCCACGGGGACTGAGATGCCCGCAGAACCTCTGAGTCAGAGAGCGCGGTAGGAGCTCAGAGGAGGGGCCTGGGCCAGGCCCCGCTGCGGGCTGGGCTGTCTGCACAGAGGTGCAGCTCGAGGCTGCGGGGCAGGCGCAGCTCAGAGGCAACTGCCCTGAGGGAGAGGAACAGTGAGTCCCGCCAGGGCCCCGGGGTCATGGTCACTAAAGGGGAAGAGGGCAAGGAAAGGTGCATGGAGGAGACGGAGCAGAAACAGAGGGGCCCAGGGCACGAGGCCAGCTCTTCCAGGAGGCACGGCCAGTCGGCTGGGCCAGGTGCATCAGAGAACTCGAGAAAAATGACTGAGATGGACCTTTGGCACCTGGCAATTCAATGGTCCCTGGAGGCCTAGGCCAGAGAGTGTCAGGCAAGGGGTGAGGACGGAGGCCGGGCGTCCGTGAACCACAGAGGAGAGAGACAGGAAGAGGTGGAGACGGCAAGCGTAGAGCGTAGAGCGTAGAGCTCCGTGGAGAAGCTTGGCTGCGAGGGAAGGAAGAGGGGCAGGGGGGTGGGGGATGGGGAAGGAAGGGCTGTGTTTGTTTTTCAGAGGAGAGAATCTTGAGCAACCGAGTGAGTCTCTCGTTCCAAACACACAGGGATGGTGGTGCAGAGGCCACCCCGGGCAGCGCCCTGGGGATGAGAGACAAAAGGACAGAGGCTGTTTTGTTTTCCTTTCCTTCCCAGGCAAAGGCTGCAGGGTTCGCCTGGACCTGCTGCACTTGACATCTGTCACCCGCTTCACTGCCGGGGTGGAGGGGGGATGTCACCTGACAGGGAACACGGGCGCTGGCTGCAGAAAGCCTTTCCTGCCCCGTGACTGCCCCTGACTGCCCCGTGCTGGACACACCCCCACGCGAGGGCTGCTGACATCACGCTGCCGTCCCTGGGAGTGAAACGCATAGAAGGTCACGTACTGTCTAGACGGCCTGTCCAATCTGTCATGCGAGGGGACTGCTCTGCAGGCTGGCAGGGCTGCAGGGAAGGCCGGAGCCAGGAAGGACAGTGCCCAGGGCCTGAGACTCGACTGCAGAATTAGACCTTCTCCCAGCAGCAGCCAAGAGACATTTTCTATCTGTGAGACGGGCTTTCTGGCGCAAGAAAAGCTCTGCTTGGGATTCAATGGCGACGGTCCAGGCAGGAAAGGCGAATGGAACAGAAGAGAGGTGGCCCCGACTTTCTAAGGTGGGACATTTAATACTAAATACGGTCCCTGAGGCCCATGGGATCTCCCAGCCAGGAAACTGCACTCCACGAATGGGGACGCTGAGGCTGTGAGATGTTGGCTACCTGCCCAAGGTTACACACCTGCAAAGAGACAGAGAACCTCCTGCCCGCCAGGCAGGAGCCAAGCCCCTGCCAGGGCCCCGGGGAGCTCTGCTCTGCGCCGGCCCTGGGGCCTCCCTTCTCGGTGTCCAGGGACGGCATGCGTCCCCTCCACGGAGGGTGTCAGCCCGGGGCGTGGCTGCCCGGCGGGCCCTGATCTCCACTTTGTGGAAACTCAGCGCCGGCTGGCCCGGCCAGCGCCAGTGTTCACCGGGAACTCCAGGGAGACGCAATGTAGTTCCCCTCAGCCTGGGGTCTCAGAGTGTGGTCCCTGGACCCGCAGGATCGCCTGAGAATTCACTACAAGTGCGAGTTGTGAGCCTGCCCCCAGAGCCTCAGATGCAGTGTGCCTGGGGTGGGCCTGGGAATGTGGCCTTTCCAGACGCTGCTGGTGCTGCTGGTCTGGACACCACGCTCTGAGGACCACACCCTCTGAGCAAATGTCATGCCCTCACCAGGAAACAGGTTCCAAAGGCAGGATGAAACCCACTCGGACAAGGCCCTGCCCTTCCTCCCTCTGGAGGGAGCTGAGCTGGGGCCCTCGATAACCCCCGAGGCTGCCTGGGTGAACCCGCGCATCCCCAGCCCCCAGGCCCAAGCACCGCAACCGAGCCGTCACCAGTCCTGGGTGACAATGAACCACAGACCCCAAAGCTAGCAGGTTCCTCAGAGGTGACTGCCGCAATACCACCACCACGACAGAAAAGCAGACACGCTGGCTGTGCCCGCCTCGGCCCAGGACGACCTCACCCCCTCAGCGCCCCTGCCTGTCTCCACCTGTCCAAGCCCCCCCACCCCGACCCCCCGGAGGCCTCCGCAGGGCCGGCTCCCCCTGGGCCTCTCCTGGTCCAATTATCCCATCACCCTCCTTTGACATCCCAACTCGGTCTCCATGTATTTCTAAGCCCCTCCCCTGAAAATGGTGCCAAGGTGACGGGTGACCCCCTAATTACTAAATCCAATGGCACCTCACAGTCCTTATCTTTTTTTTGTCTTTATCTTATTGTTTCTTTCTTTCTTTCTTTTTTTTTTTTTGGCAAAATTTTGGCCCTGCTGACTGTTGGGGATCGCAGCAGCTGCATCAGGCATATGCCCTGAAACCCACAGGAGATGAGAATATGTCCCTTCCCCCTCGGGGTTCCTGGGGAAGCCGGGTGGGCAGCACTGCTGAGCCGAGAGCGGGGCGAGCAGCAGCGGCCGGGGTGTCCGAGCACAAGAGAGTGACCGTGTGCTCCAGGTCGGCCAGGCCCAGGAAGAATGTAGGAGCCTGGCGGGGGGCGGGGGGTGGGGGCCGTCGTGTGGGCGGAAAGTTACCAGAAGGGAGAGAGAGCCAAGGTGGAGTGACTAATCAAAATGATACAGCCAGGAGGCGGCTGCCGCAGCCACCGGGCCGGACTGCAGGCCAGGGGAGGTGGGGCAGCCAGAGAGGCCTCCAGCGGGACTCAACTTCCTGGAGGGGTGATGAGCTGGACTGCAGCCGGCAGGAAGCCGCTTGGATTCTGAAAATCTGAGCGAGCTCAGAGAAGACGCCCCCCGGCTGACAGGGACCAAAGGCCTTGGACGAGGTCCACAGGATTTATAGAAAGAACGGAAAGAAAGCTTCTGAGTCTTCTAGTCAACCCAGCACCAACAAAGCCACTCTTTGCCACTTTGAGGACAAGTCCTAGTCCTGGCGAGTGTACGTGTGCGCGCACGTGTTTGTGTGTGAGTGTGCATGAAGCAGAGAAGGGGGCTGTGAATGAAAATTTGTGATTAGTGAATCTCGTGAGAAAGGGAATTCCGTGGCCACGGAGCATTTGTCGTAAGTCCTCCCTCACCTGGCCCATCTCTGCTCAGAAAGCCACTGGTGAGGCCACTGACCAGGCCTTTGTCCAGGGGCCAGAGCCTCCCAGGGCCAGGAAACAGTTTAGTGTTTGACAGGGAAGTGCTGAGGCAGATTAATGATAAACCCACCTCCCTCAGTTTTTCTCTCTTCCCAGGATGTCCAATCTCCAAATCTTTAGCAACCATTAATATGATTTAAATGTACTACCCCTGTTATTAGATGCTCTTTGGGAGGGAGCCAAGATGTCACTGACTTGTCACTTAGAGTACGAGGAAGACATGTCACTTGACTCAGAGCCCAATGACCCAGCCCTAGGCCTGGCTCTGCACCAGCCCCCTGGGCTCAGCGAGGCCATCTGCAATGGAGGGGGCAGGCCCGAGGTTGCTGAGCATCCTTGGGGCCTGACAGTCTATGAGTTCATGGTTCTAAAGGGTGGTTAGCGGAGAGAGGCAGGTGTGTGCGCATTCTTCCAGAAAAGCAGAAAAGATGAAGGATGCAGCCGACAGAAGCAAAAACATACCGCCAAGCCATGCAATCACATCGCCAGGGCCCCTCCCAGGACAGGAGGCTTAAGCTCAGTTAGCCTCTTGGACTCCCTCCCACCCCCACCCCCAGGCCTGGCCCACACAGCGAGCTCGGGCTCCTCACGAGCTGGCGGCGCCTGGCAACGGCCGCTTAGGGCCTCATGGATCAAGAGTTAGCTGACCTGAAAAGCAAAGACATCCTTGACCAGAGCTTCCCCAAACACGAAGCTGGAGCCGGCCTCGGTGTAGCTCAGGAAGATCTGAAAGAGACAAAACCAAACACTGGAGTGAGGCGACGAAGGAAGGAGGGGGAAACAGCGGCAGGCGAGGGAGCTGGAGGGGCCTCCACGGCCCTTCCCCACCGCCCGGGGGAGAGAGGGACACAGAAGCTGGGGCCCCACGTGGCAGCGTGCTGCGCGGGCGGCATCGTCAAGGCCATTCTCCCCTCCTGACCGCATCCTCCAGGAGGCACCGCCTTCCGATAAATTTTAAAGCAATGCTGTGAGATGAGAACTGTTGGGATAATAAAGAAACAACCAAGGGAGCAAGACGGTGAGAGGTGAGCCCTGGCTGGCGTGGCTCAGTGGATTGAGTGCCATCCTGTGAACCAAAGGGTCGCCAGTTTGATTCCCGGCCAGGGCACAGGCCTGGGTTGCGGGCCAGGTCCCCAGTAGGGGGTGTGCGAGAGGCGACTGGCCATCTCTCACACTGATGTTTCTCTCCCTCCCTTTCCCCTCTCTAAAAATAAATAAATAAAATCTTTTTAAAAAAAGACGGGGGCAGTGAGAGGGCTGTCCAGGGGAACGCCCTGCGCCTGCTGGCTCCCTCCCTCCCAACCAAAGGCACAGCCCCCCTTGTCCCTGCCAAAGGCCCATGGCCTTGGTGTCCGAATATGGCCACACTTCTACAGGAGGCTGACTTAGTCCTGCCCTTGCGTTGTGACTGCAGGGACAAGTCACTCCCCATGTCTATAAAACGGGGGACGTGACCAGGGTAGCAACTCTGTCTTCTCTGCCCCCACAGCCACACAGGTGCTGGAGCCAGACACGCAAGACGACCCCGCCTGAGAGCACAGTCGCCGTGCGTGATGGGAGGGGCTGAGCACAGGAGCCACGGGTTGTCTCTCATCATTTACATTTTAGATAGTAAATCGTGATGGTTGCACAACAATGGGAATGAACTTAATGGCACTTAAAAATGGTTAAAATGGTAACTGTTGTGTTACGTGTATTTACTGCAACAAAACAATGGAATTGAAAAGTATGGCTTCAACAAACTAAACGTCGTCTTTAAATACACACACATACACAAAATAAATCATTTGCAATTTTTTAAGCACTTGTAACTCCGGTCAGTTCCTCACCACTGATGACTGCTGAGGGCCCCATGCCCCGTGCCCAGGTGCCCGAAGAACCCCATGTTCTGAGACACTCTCACGCATCAGACCCCGCCTCTGAGAGGACCGCTGTCTGGGCAGGTGGCCGCAGGACTGAGGGAAGTAGCAGCTGCACAGCCAGCCCCCAGACGCCCACCTGGCCTGGGGCCCCCCACGCACCAGCCATGCCAGCCCCAGGCCCAGTCCCTCACCGCCCACCTTCCCCAACACAGTGGTTTCTCCTCCATCCCTGGCAACCGAGACGCCCCGGGCAGCCAGGCCCCACAAACACACCTGGATCTGCTCGCCCAGCCACTGGAACGCAGTAAATCCAGGTTCTGTTCTGATGACGAGGAGTCCAAGTACAAACTGCAGCCCAAGACCCCAGGACACAGCCCGCCAAGATACCTGCCGCCGAAATAGAAAGGTCCTGGTGAGCTCGGCTCCTGGGGGACCCTCAGGGACCAGGTGGGGTGAGAGCAGAGGGCATGGAGCTTCCCTGAGGAGCCACGAGAGCTTTGGCGTGCTTGTAGGAAAGGGGCTGGGCCTAGCCAGGGGTCTGGACCTATGAACAGTGGTCACATCCTCCCTGCAGTTCATAACAGGCCATGTTCTTGGCTGCAATGAGCCTAGGGCAGTAGGCAGGGGTGGGCAAGGTCTCACTGAGGACCCGTGTGAGACTGCACCAGCCTTGAGCATGCTATGGCACCCGGTCCTGGGTCACCCCTGAGTTGGCGGAGTTGTGGCCTCAGAGTCTGGCCTCGGTGTATCCTTCCTCTGCCTGGACCCCTCCCCCATATCCTTCCTCCATAGGCAGGGGACCCAGCTGTCCTAACCCCACTCTGTCCATGCCCCCACTGCAGCAGAGGGGAGCTGGGCTCCTCTCAGCCTTCAATGATTCCTTAGTGCTGATCCCCAAACGCTGGGGTGTGTCAGGACCTCTGGAGGCTTGGCCGGAGACTGAGGGAAGGAGCGAGCCACCCTGTGAAACCGGGAGGGGTCCTCATGCTGGGGTGGTTGTCCCGCCGAGGAGGCAGAGGGAGAGAAGGGGCTGCGACCCATTCTGGGCCTGACAACTGAGCACTGACTGCGCAATGATGCTTTGAACAGGCAAAGAGGACGCTGATGAACACGCAGATTCCTGCGAAGGATACCAGCTGCTCGGGCCGCCGGGAGGTGTCCAGGATCAGCCACAGGCCCAGGCCCAGGACAGCGGCGAGGGCTAGACCCCTGCAGGGGAAGGCAGAAAGGCATCGCCTCAGTGTGTCTCCCCGACCCCAGACCCCAGGGAAAGCACATGCAGAGCTGGCGGGAGGAGAGAAAGCTGTGTGACTTCAGGCAAATGACTGAGCCCCTCTGAGTCTGATGTCCTCACTGAGAAAAGGAAGCCAAAGACGCCCCATTCCTCAGGGTGGGGAAAGGACTGAGGAGGAGGGTGCATGGACGGACCTTAGCACCTTGCCTCCCTCCTTGTCCCCAGGCAACAACTGAGCTGTTTTCTGTTACCAGATTAGTTTGCATTTTCTAGAATTTTGCATAAATGGAATCATCCAGCAGTATTCCATTCGCCTGTCAGTGGGCACTGAGGCGGTTCCCAGTGTTTCGCTATTAGAGACAAAGCAGCTGCGAACATCCACACATTCACGTGCAAGTCTTGGTAGGGATGCACGGTTTCATTTCTCCAGAGTAAACACTATAAATGGAGTGGGTGAATCATATGGTAGGTCTAACTCTTTAGGAGACTGCCAGGCTGTTTTCCAAAGTATACAATTGTACGTTCCCACCAGCCGCCTATGAGAGTTCCAGTTTCTCCACGTCATTGCCACCACTTGGTATGGTCAAGCTTCTGAATCCTAGCCATTCTGGTGGGAAGACAGTTGTATCTCTCGGAGTTAAATTTGCATTCCCCAATGACTAGTAATGTTGAACACCTTCCCATTTGTTTATTTATGCTTATAAATCTTTTTTTTAATGAAATTTCTGTCCAAATCTTGATCCCATTCTTATTTTTGTTGTTTTTCTTATTATTGAGCTTTAAGAGGTATTTCTATTTCTCTGGATACACGTCTTTTGTCAGATATATGATTTGTGAAACTTTTCTCCTTGTCATAAGTTGTCTTTTCATTCTCTTAATCGTGTCTTTGGAAGAGCAGAAGTTCTTAATTCTGATGAAGTTCAATTTATCGATTTTTTATTAGATTATGATTTTGGTTTTGTATTTAAGAAGTTTCCTTAAGGTCATAAAGATTTTTCTCCTGCGTTTTCTTAGAGAAGTTTTATAGTTTTAGGTGTTACATTTAGGATTATGATCCCTCTTTGGCTAAATTTTTTTATAATGTTAAGTCATGGATCCAAGTTCTTTTCTTTCTTTCTCTGCCTCCTCTTCCTCCTGCTTCTGCCAATGGGTATCCTATTATTCTAGCAGATTTTGTTGAGATGATAGTTATTTTTCCCCTGAGTTGCCTTAGCACCCTTGTCAAAAATCAATTAGCTATACAAATGTGAATTTATTTCTGGACTCTCTATTCTGTTCCACTGATCCATGTGTCTGTTTTGATGCCAATAGCACATTGTCTTGATTACCGTAGTTTTATAACAAGTATACAGACAGGTAATGTAAGTTCATCAACTTTGCTCATCTTTTCCAAAGTCAATTTTGGCTGTTCTTAGTTCTTTGCATTTTTATTCAGTCTATCATTTTTAGACTTTCTGCCCAAAAAGCCTGCTATAATTTTGATTGAGATATTATTAAAGTCTACAGATTAATTTGATGAGAATTGATATATTGACAGTACTGGTCTTTTGACCCATGAACTTGGGAATTTGCTCCATTTATGTAAGTCTTCTTTACTTTCTCTCAACAATGTTTTGTAATTTTCAATATACAGGTTTGCGTGTCTTTTGTCAGATTTTTCCTTAAGTATTTCATATTGCATGCTATTCTAAGTAGTTTTTATAATTTAAACTTAGGCTTGTTGTTGGTATATGGAAAGACAACTGTTTTTTTTTTAATGTTGATCTTGTATCCCGCAACCTTGTTTAAACTCCCTTGTTAGTTCTCTATAGAATTTTCGATGCAGACCATCACACTCTCTGTAAATAAAGGCAGCTTTACTTCTTCCTTTCCAATCTGCACGTCTTTAACTTCTTTTTCTTACCTTAGTGCACCAGCTAGAACCTCCAGCACAATGTTGACTGAAAGTGGCGACGATGAATATTCTTACACAGCGACCCCTGGACCCCAACCCAGCCTGCTGAGCCAGACTCCAGGGGAGGTCCCTGGCGGCGGCAGCCTGTCTCACACAGGTCCCAGGTGCTCTGATAGGCGGCGCTGATGTGGGCCCTCCCTGCTGGGATGGGCTGGGATCTCCTCATTTAGGGAAGTACAGAGACCTGCGACCTGCTGTAAGTGGCACAGAGAGCCGGACGGCAATTGGCAAGTCTCCACAAAGATCGCTGCCGCCGGTGAAGCCGCCCAGCAACACCTGCCCTGGCACTTGCAGAAGGCAAGCAGGGTGGGACACATTCCCTGCAGCACAGGGGCCATCGGGTGGGGGGCGCAGAGGTCCGCCTCACTCAGCCCTGGCTGTGACCCCAGAGCTGACTCAGAGGCCTTCAGTCACCGTGCCCCACCCCTCCCCTCCCCTGCCCCCCGCTCGGGGCTGTGAGCTCACTCACCTCTTAAACCAGAGGCTCAGGCAGGGGTGCCCCAGAGGCCTGACACACCTCAGCAACCTTGGCCCCAGCAGCCTCTTTCCCAGGCTGTGGGCCAGGAAGACCAGGACCACACAGGTGAGGACGAACAGGGGCAGGGCCCTCTGGAAATCCAGGAGGCAGGCAATCAGCAGGAAGGCAGCGAACCCTGGGAGCACGGGGGAGGGACAGAGAAGGGGTCCATGAAGGCTGCACCAGCCTCTGCAGGCCCTGCAGCCCCGCCCTTGGGCTCCATCTACTCCGCCCAGAACTTAGAGGGCGGGAAATGTCCCCCAACCCCTCTGAGCCTCAGTCCCCTCACCTGGAAACGAGCACCACCTCCCCTCCTGTGCTGGAGGGCTGTGATGGAGTGGACAGGGTGTGTGCAAAGGGGCTTTGCAAAGTGTCAAGTGCGGGCCAAACTTGAGGCAGGAGATGTGTGAGGAGGAAGCTAGACAGCATGGATCTTTTGAGCGTCGAAGGTGTGCCTGCTCTGCCCCAGGGCTCGCTAGGTCCCACAGAGGCAGGGATGAAGGGGTCCGGCACTCCAGGACGGAGTGCGCTCATGTGCACCTGGGTCCCATTCTGAAATATTGATCAGGGACCATTTTCTTCCTGGGATCCCATCTTCCCCCTTTGCTCTTCCCTTCTCCCCTTCAAGGAGCTAAGCCAGGCTGCGCCATGCCTCAGAAAGGCATGTGACAGTGGATAGCAGAGGGGCAGTAGCCCTGCCTGGCTTCCGAACTTCAAAAGCCAGGGCCCTTGGAGAATAGAAAGGACTTAGAGCTTTTCCATGGGATTAAAAATGTGGGGTGAAACACTGTAAGCGTAAACCCCACTCCCCACCCCCTCTGCGGCCAGACTAGTCGGAGGACACTAGCTGGAGGGTCCCCGCTCGGCTTCCTCCCTCCTGTATGTACTCTTCCTTACGCCCCCTCCTTAATCTCAAATGCATAAAAGAAACTGCAAACTGTTATTCTCCGAAGTTATTTTTCTCAGTCTGTTGAGACTTTGCTGCCAGGCGTGTCCTTTGTTTGGCTGAATTAAATTATTATACAAGTTCTCTATAGGTGTGGCCGTTCTTACAGTGACACAGTTCCAGCCCTTTCCCGACCGCCCAACCTCGTGCTCTGGAACTCCTAGTACCCTTTGGCCACACTAGACTATTGATTAGCTCGCTATCCACGCCTTGCCCGTTTTTACCTTTGCTCCTGGGGTTCCTCTGTACAGAGTTCCTTCTCACTCCTTATCATCCTTCCTCTCCACCTGGCTAACTCCTGCTCAACCTGTGAGACTCAAATGTCACCTCCTCCTGGAGGTCCTCCCTGTTCACCGCCATCCCTTCTTGGTGTTCCCAGATGGCTTGTGGCTCTATGCGGGAACAAGCTGCCCTCTCTCTTACCAGTCATAGTGCCCTGGGAACAAGATCTGGTCTGCCTTAATTCTGGGGAGCCTGCCCTGAGAGATGGATGGCTGGGGTGGAGGGGGCTGAAATGGGGGGGGGGCAGGAGTGTCCCTGGTGGGGCAGGGCCCCAGGCTCACCAGTGCAGAGCAGGCCTGCGCAGATCCATCGAAACAGCTGTGCATGCTCCCTGCAGAAGCGTCTCGCTTTCAGGGCCGGCTGCAGGCTCCTCCTGGGGAGAAGACCGGGGGGTCCACAAGTGGCCACCAGACTCCTGTCCCTGTGGGGATCCCCAGTACCTCCAGATGGAAGCCACCCCCGTAAAAGGGCAACACGGGGTGAGCCAGGCAGTGGCCTTGACACCCCACAGGCCTGAAGAGCGACCCTAGCTCAGAGCAAACTGAGGAAAGGCTCCGGCCACCCATGCCTTCCTGCCTCTCTGTGCCTCCACGTGACATGCACACGCCCTGCTGGCCGCCTCCCCTCCCCCGTCGCATTGCCACCTGTCCATGGGGCATGGGGGAGAGGCTCCCAGCTCTGCATTCCCTCCCCTGGGACCGGGGGCCCTTGTCACTGCGTCAGCAGCTCCTCCCCGAGAGGATGCATGCACAGCCCGCCCTGCACCCCGCAGCAGTGGCCCCACTGCTTCCCGGGGCCCCTGCAAATGCCAATTCTTGCCCGGTCATTGGGTCACTGGCTTATCCCTGCAGTGAAGGCTGGACTCTGAATAGCCACAGGCTGAACACGAAGGACATGCTCAGTCAGAGCTCATTAGGCATCAGTGGCTGTTTGAAGGCCCCTCTCTTCCCTCTCTCTGGCCCCACCTTCCAAGTGCACCTTCCTCAGTCTGCCCCCCAAGACAGGCAGATGGAATCCCCCACTACCACGCTTCATTCTCAACTCAGCGCTGGCCAGTGAGGACCCCCGTGGGCCCAGGCCCCGGGAGGCCAAGTTCTAGGCTCCAATGAGCTGCCTGTGTGACCTGGACCCTTCCCTTTCCCTCTCTGGGCTTCAGCCTTCCCATGTGAAAAGAGGGGCCTGGCCAAATCCAGGGGTTTTCAAACTCGGCCTCGATGTTCCCCAAGGTGCCTGGAGACAGAATGCGGTAGATGGCAAATGGGGAGGTTGAGAGGGGGTCTGGTTTAGGGGTCCATCCAACTTCAACCAGAGCAGCCCCACAGCACATTTTGGGGGTTCCCATGGGAGTTCACTCTGGCCGCTTCCAGGCAGGCTGGGAGCCGCTGGCCTGGCTCGCCTCTGGGGAAGAGGAGAGCAGGGCGCATTCCCTGGCAAGAGCGTGCTTCCTCCTTCCTTCGGCCCTGCTGCTCCCCACGGCGGCCTCCTCCCCGGGCCAGCCCGCCCGCGTCGCCCCCTGCAGGCCACCTACCACCCAGAGAGGGGCTCCTGGCCAGCTGTGCTCCAGCTGTCTCTGCCGTCTGTGGGGCTCAGGTCGTTGCCAGGGGTCCGGCCTTCCTCCTAAAGCCACCAGAGAGTGACCACGGTGTGTCTGTGCCCCAGGTGAGAACTGGAGCTGGGGGCCGGAGAGGGGTGGGGCCCTGGCTGCCGCCAGGGAGCCCACAGGCGCCGCAGGCGTAGGCTGGGGTGGGGCCTGGGCTTTGGCACAGGGAGTAATGGGAGGGCGACTTAAATTCTGCAGAGCATGCACTGAGCGCCTACACATCCTGCCCGCAAGGCGCTCCCGGTCTGCACGAGGGAGGGACGGATGCGCGGCCGTGCCTGAGCTGCGGCTGGCGGCTGGCCCAGCCAGGGCCCCCTGGCCACCCCGCCCCAGGACACCAGTGGCCCCAGTCTGGGGAGCTGCGTTCAGAGGTGCAGGTCACAATGTGGGAGGCGCCCCGGGCTGTGCAGTGCGGGAAGTGGACCAGGTGTTGTCCGGGGGTGTCGGGAGGGAAGAGGGTGTCCTGTTAGGCTCCTGAGTCCTGGGTGGCAGCCCCACCCGGCCATGCCAGAGCGAGGACAAGTTTCCTGGCTCCTCGAAGGCTGAGACTTCCACAGAGACCCCCACTCCCACCCCGAGGTGGTTTCTCCTTCTCCCCCTTTAAATCACAGCTCAAACGGCTGGTCCTAGTCGAGCCTTCCCCGACCTTTCAGACTAGGGCGGGCTGTGCGGGCACATAGTGGGCGCACAACCAGCGTTCCGTGAGTTCAGAACAAGCACTCGGAACAAGCGGCTGCTCTGTGCTGAGGAGGCCATCACACAGTGGGGGCGAGGGGGTGTCGGTCCCAATTGTTTAAGTGAAGAGGGGAGAGTGGAGTGAAGGAAGAGGGTGAACAAAGGCCCCTCCCACTAGGGGGCCAAGATGGGGACGGGGAAGGGGACAGACCAGGCTTTCCAAGAGCTCAGCCCCCATGTTGTCCAGACCATTGGCCACGGATGCAAGAGAGATGGACTCTTTTGGTCTTGGTGTGTGGTTCTCCATGTGTCAGACCTTCCAGCTGAAAGACAAAGGCAGGGCGCAAAGCTGAAAGGGGACCGCCAGGCAGGACCCGAGGAGGGGCCGGGAGAAGGGAGGCAGCTGGCATGGGGGACCAGACACCCCACAGAGCCTAAATGATCCCAGAGCTCAACCCTCACCATGTCTGGGGGCCGCACGTGACTCCCCGGGGACAGAGGAGGGCTTCCCTTCCTGGACTCACTTCTGAGCCTGTGGGCGGCAAATTCTCATGAACCCGTGAGGCCAGACAGAAACAGGGCAATTCTGCCCACTGCACAGGGACCGGAAGGGACAGAAGTCCGCACAGCACGGCTGTGTACCCGACAGGTACTTCTCCTAAGACAGGCCCTAGCTTTCAATGCTCACTGCAACCCCACTGGCTAAAACCATCGCCCTTAAGTGACATCTTCATTGTATTGTACCATCGTCCCACCTCTGAAAGACGGAGACATGGTATCATGAAGATGTCATTCCAGTCCCTGTGTCCCGCTGTATCTGAAATTAGCCCTACCCCTGGGTTTTTCAGTTATAAGAGCCAACAGTTTTTTGTTGTTGTTGTTGTTGTAAATAAGAGCCCTAAGGCCCCATCTCTCTCCATTCCTGTTCCCTCTCTTTTCCTTCCCCTTGGGGAGCAACCTACACTATCCAGATCCCAGCCCGGGGTAGCTCCGATGCCCAGGGGCGTGCACATCTGTGTGCACACAAGAGCAGGACACATGTGGAAGCGCACACACAGGTGGAGACTGGGGCAGCCTGCTACCCACACGCACGCACACACACACATACCGCTGCCCAGAAGGAGGCCGGATCCTCTTCCTACTCACGTATTTGTGGTAAACAAGCCACTCTCAGGGACAGGAAGGAGTGTGTGTGCTCCTGTGAAGACAAGCTGGATCCAGCCTGCTTGAACTTTGGCCTGTCTTCCAATTTCAGTGGACCTTCCTAGGCAGAATTCAGAGTCGGAGTAGGTTGGGCCTCCCAAGAAGCTCTGTCACAGCCCAGGCGGGGACCCCAACCTCTCTCAGGGGAAAGGGGGCCAGGGCAAGTGGGCCCCACTCTAGGCCTGGGCCAGTGAGCTCCTACGCTTGTACTTAATTTGCCTTCCTCCTCTGAGATGCTCTCCTCTCCACTCTCCCTTGCTCCCAAACATTCCCACCTCTTCCAGAAAGCCCACCCTGATTACCCTCACCCTTCCCACAGGCCCTCCTGTGTGGCCTCCTTTCCCCTGCCATCGGCGTGACTCAGTTTTTCTGACCGTGCGTTTTACCTTTCATATCACCTCTTCTCCAGTCTCTCCTTCCCCCCAGTCTGTTTTCCTCAGCTTCAAGACAATGGAAGCAGTGCGGCTGTCACAAATAGTGAAAGTGTTTCAGGCCCAAGTGTCACTATAGTCCTGCAGACGAAACAAAATCACACAATCTGCTCTTTTCTTCCCTTTTACTCTTTAACTGGCACCTAGGCCACCACGTGCAGTCAAGTGTTTAGTGTCTCAGTTCTCAACTAAACATTAAACTTATCTGACAGGACTGACCCAACATCTCTTAATAATTAAACATACACACTCAGAACAAAATCCTTTATGATACGTGAATGCTTCCTGGAGTCACCTGCACATGCTTGTTGTTTCGAAAAATTAGAGGATGACAGATGGAGAGCGGGGGGTACCCCCTCTTTTTAAAAACTTTTTTGTGTCTGTCATTCTGATTACCAAAACATTGCATGTGCTTCGTTAAACATTTAAACATTTTAGAAATATACAAAACATAGGAAGTTAAAAATTCCTCTAATCTGAACCTTCTGGAGAGGACCGTCATAGAGTTTGTGGTATTTTTGTCCAGACTTTTTTTTCTTTCCTTAAGTGAATACTGTTTAATGTTATTCATTTTACAGAAGGGGCTCAGACTATACCAGCTTTTTTGCAATTTGCTTTCTTGGGCAGAGATCCAGCCTTGCCGCCCTCACTTCATGGAGGGGCAGACGGAGGTGAAAACCGTGTGTGTGTGTGTGTGTGTGTGTGTGTGTGTGTGTGTGTAATTACATATACTTGCCTTCCAATCAAAACAGCACTTGGAAAGGTGTACAATGAAGAGGCTGCCCCACCTGTCCCAAACCTGTTCCATTCTTCAGAGGCAGTCACGTACCTGTTTCTGGTTTCAGCTCTTTGGGGCCACCTCTTGTTTCAGGGGAGTTCTTGTCCAAAGAGTGGCAAAGAACCTCTGCTGTGCTTTGCTATTAGGCTGTATGTCCTGAATTACAACTCTTTGTTGTTCCCAACTAAATCCATTTTGCTGGCGAAATAGCTGACTGCCTATTTGTTTCAGGTCAACAATCTTAAACTTGGGGCCCGTGACATCATGTGGTTTACCCTGAGCCAGACACCTGCCTCTGCGGGCAGCCTCCACAAGGGCAGGCGTGGGGCTGCCTTCCCAGGGGGCCTTGTCAAGTCCCAGCCAAGGGCAGAGGGGCCTGTGCCTGCTCCTCTGCCTCTGCCCCCTTCTAACATCTCCCCCCTTCCCTCTCCCCTCCTCTCCCACTGCCCAGATGGAAGCCAGGAGCACCACATCCAGAAGCAGCCAAGTTTGTTTCAAAACACGTTCCCTACATTGCAGCTTACACCTTTGACATATACATATGCCCTGATCTCCAGAAGAAGGATTTAAGAGCTATGTGTCATGAAATAAAACCTGAGCTTGGAGTTGAAAGGTCTAGGTTCATTCCTGTCTCTCAAAGCCTGTTTCCTCTCCTGTAGATAGGTGGGGGTGAGTCATGGTACCTACCTAGTAAATAAATATTCATGAGGATAATTCTGGTGAGCTAATTCTGGGGAGGCGATTGGCAGACAGCTTGGCACCATCCAGCTGATCGGTCTCATCGTTGTCACCGGTCCCATCTCGGGGCTGTCTTGACATGCCCTTTTCCAGGGTGTCTGTGTGTCTCCCCTGCTCCCCCTGCTGAAGGAGGGGTGCAGCAGAGACCCTGGCACCCAGAAGCCAAACGCTCTCTTCAAGTGGCATTTGGCTGACTGAGAGCCATAGGCTGGGCAGTCGGGAGGCTGGTGAGGTTGGGCTGAGGCTCAAGGGAAAGACCAAGAGCTGGGGGACCTCGGGGGCCCTGGCTCTGCCCCATCCAGCTGAGTGATCGCAGCACATCCCTTGACCCCCACGCCTGTGGCCTGTTTCCTGAGGAAGTTGTTCCTGCGAAGTTGAGCTCTGAGGCCTGTCTCACCCACGGGGATGGTACAGTGAGGCCGGGGACCGAGCCAGGGCAGGGTGATGGGTCCAGGACAGAGGGAGGTGAAGACCGCGCACGCGTACACGCGTGTGTGTGTTTGCCTTCCACTCAAAACAGAAGAGCACTTGCAAGGATTTATAATGGAGAGGTTGCCCCACCTGTCCCGAACCTGTTCCGTTCTTCAGAGGCAACCATGTACCTGTTTCTGGCTTTAGATCTTTGGGGCCACCTATTTTGGGGAGTTCTTGGCCAAAGGGTGGGAAAGAAACCCTTTTCCTTCCCAGGCTTTGATGTAGTATAGAAAGTATTTTTATAAGTGGTGAGTGAAACACTCAGGACTATAAGAGGCCGCCATTGTCGGAAGGGCTGCTCAACGATCCATTTCCTTGGCTCTTCACAAATGAGGTCTTCCATTGCATTGACTCATGCGTCCAAGCACTGGACAAAGAGAAAGTCCACTCCTGGTCATTCATGGTCAAGTTCCATGGACGTGACCTTGTCACCCTCTCCAATACCCAAAAGTTCCAACACCACTGCCATGGACCGCCTGGCATGACTATCTGTGTCCCCTAATAGAGTCCACCCCTTGAGCCTCCCTATTTACTGAGAACAGATGTGCATGAATGGCCGTTATCCAATATAAAACGGAAGAAAGGGGTCTGAGGCTCATCTCTCTCAGCCAACAAGAAAGGGCTGGTAACATAAGGACAGCTGCTCCCACAACCAAGAAGGCCCAAGGTCACACAGCAGAGGAAGTTTTCCCCGAACAGCTAGGAGATCACTATTTCCAAATATTTAACTGGTCGCTACTTTGTGAAGAATATTCCCCTGGTGATTTCACCTTCTATCTACCCTTCTCACCTCTCATCAAATATTAGCTTGTTATATAATGAGACTGAGATTTTTTCCTTTTCTGTTGGATCCAGGTTAAGATGTTGTACAAACAAAAGCTGTTCTTAATTCACGTCATCCCATTGGGTTCAGAGATATCATTCGGGGCTTTCAAACCAAAAGCTATGTGCTCCATCGGAGGTGTGCCATTTTCCTCCAGCCTTTGGCAAGGGCTGAGGGACTATTGGTTTGGATTTCCACTGCCTTCTTGGCCCAGAACCTGCCACTGAGTCACAGCTGATAAGCGGGTTATTTATACAGGCAAAAATAATTCCTTGATTGTTCCATTTGCTCTCCCTGTCAAAGTGGTATGGCGTGGCTCCTGCTGTGTCCAGGAGGAAGGTGCTGATGTGTAGGGCATCACAAATTAAACACGATTGTTAGGAAGAACAAAAATGGACACCTCTGAGTGTCACATCTACACATTGAAACTTTCCAGGCACATCTTGCCTCGCTCCATGCAAGTGGGGTTCCACTGATAGCGTCGTGCCATGGACTGAAAGGCACGGGCTCATCTCTGACTGGTGCCAAGTGTTCTTCCTGTGTGGACCTGCCAGTATGTACCATGGCTCACCCTGAAACACTCCCTTCCACTTCACTGTGCCTGTGGAAGCAAGTTTCCTTACTCCAAAGGTCATATGCAATTCCCTTCAGGTCCAGGACAGTGGCAGTTTGCGGAGAACCTAGTGCAACACTAGGAGGTAGTGTTAGTAACATAGGAGGTAAACACTGGCCAGCTTGTGGATCATTCACACGGGATGAGAGCTGGAAAGATGGCTTTCAAGGGTGGGGGACAGAGATGTTTGCCGGCCACCTCATTTTGAGCGAGGGTAGAAACACCAGTGTCTCCCAATTTGGAGAAG